TGTTAATTTTATTCAAGGAGTTGGCAAAAAACATTCCACTTATATAAACTTATATTAATTTAAAACAATAAACATATACCTATATATTTAAAAGTTTAACTAAATTTTTGAACGTATCGAACATATTATAAGATTTGATTCAGTTTAATAATACTAACCACTAAGATACGTTTAGAGAACTTGATTTTTCTCATCATCAGTGTAAAATGAACAAAACTTATTAGCACTTTTTATAAAAATAATAATTTGAAAACGATTTGATTAATTACAAATGAAAAAATAATTATAACAGGCTCGACATTCTGATATACTGTTATTTTTTGTTGTACATTTATTTTCTGATGAAAATTGCAAACCATAAAAAAAGAAAATTTGGGAAGAAATATAAAAAGACTACATAGCTCTTACTACAGTAAGTTTACTTCTATTGAAAGTGTATTAAAACATGTATTTCGGTAAATAATTTGAATTTTCATCTTTATGGATGCTTACACTTATGGTTTATTTAATAAAACTTTATTTTTTGCCTTTGCACACACATACATATATGCGATGTATATGTACATGTATATATATATATATATATATATAATATTTATATTCTTCTTATTATCTGTTTATATAATTTATAATTTTCAAATATTACTATACAATAATAAAAAATTAACGGTACGTGCTACTGTAAGAATAAGATATTATTGCTATCTTTGTACTAATTTGTTTTTCCGTTAAATTAGTGCCACTAAAGTATGAATTACTGTTTAATTAGCAATAAAACGAAGTATTCTTTTCTATAACGTAATTAGATCTTGAGAACCGCTGATTTTTATAAATTACATCGTGTACACAAGCTATTCTCTCAACGTGCGCGTTCCCATAATTCTCTCCGTAGCGAAAATTTAAAAATGTGCTCCGCATAAATTGTTTAATAAATCATGATGCCTCATAATTTACAAATATGAGATAGAAATCCATCGAAATATTTTACAATAGAATGTGTTGTAACATAGAACTCTACAACGATGAATTATTACCGGTGCTTACCTACAATGCAGTAAGTGATTTATCTTATGTACTTTCGAGAAATTTTTAATTTTGAACTTATTAAAAAAACTATTAGATCAATTTTATGTTTGAGCATTAATACATCTATTTGCAAAAAAACAAAATATTTTATATTCAAGCTTTTTATATTCAAAGCACGAAATCTACATAAAAGTTGATATCTTAGCCTTAACTAAGAAGTAATTCAAAAAAATATTTGAGTATGACGTTGTCTGAGGTGTGAAAATATCAGATATGTTAATTTTATATTTTTAATTTCAAATAATCAATATGTCACTATATTAGTTCAAATAGCCTAAAACGTGTTGTTTCTGTTTTTTTTTTGTTCGATTTTTTTTAATATGATACAATTAGGTATTTTACCATTTTACAATCCTGATTAAATGCGTAAATCTGTTTGATGGAACTTGTCAATATACTTAAAAAAAGCTCTTCAAAAGTCGACGAATTTTAAAAATGTTAAATTTATAGTTTAACAAAGTTTATGTCTAGAACACTTATTAAACTTGTGTCATTATTTTTGACTGTTCCTAGAAATGATATTTACGGTTATCTTTCTAAAGTGCCAAAAAGACAAAATATTAATATTTAAGCACAATAAGTGAATTATGGGCACAGCTTGACCAAAGCTTTAGATTATGCCTAAAAGCTCATAATTTTCATACCGCTTTGAACAATTTGTACTTCCATTTTTTGCCTAATAGTTGCAATTAATTCTGACTTCCCATTTCGGCTTAGCGTTGAGTTTTGGGACACCCTGTATACAAAACTAATTCTTTATTATCATATTTGTGAATAAGGTCGTAAGAACTAAAAATTAGATATCCTCGGCAGCTTTAGTTTTGGATCACCATAAAATGATATGAAAACTGATAATTTGGTCATGATAAGAAGAAAAAGACCAGTTACTAATTTAAGCTATTCTTATGATATCTTGTTGTATGGATTGATATGTGCTTGCAATTTGGTGAGCATTTCCGTATAATCTGCGAAAAGATGAACAGGGTTGTGCCAACTCACATTGGTGACAATTATTGGAGGCGAAATCTTTTATTCATTATCTTTCTATGCTGAACTCATTTAAGCAGCTCAAAAATGATTATATTGACAATTTGTTTGATCAGTATACAGATGCACTCTACTGTACAAAAAATGAAGGACTTAGACTCAATTTAGGAAGATTAGGCATATCCACATAACGAATTACCATGATAACGATAAAAAAGTTGGAGATAGTATTTTTCTGCAAGATAGTTTATACTGCAAGATTATATTTTACGACCTAAGATTTAGAGGTGAAAGGACAGCTTCAATGGCTGTAATGTACCATAATTCGTCTACATGTTACATCGTGCCACAGATGCTGGAGAGGATAAATAGAGCGTGGCTGCATAATATAAGAATAATTTATTTGGGCACATAAAATTAGACCTGATGGGTCCTACCAGAGAAGTAATTTTGGAAGGCAGTTTCGCAGAAATTCAAAAACAAAACCTAAGAGCATACATGTAAGCAAAAATGCATACATACTATACATGGCCATATTCATTTTGCTGGGTCATGCAAAAACTATTAGGATTCTTTTTTGTCAATTAACTTTAAACTTTATTTAAGTTTTATAATACAAGATTGTTGAGGTTTATATAAAATAAAAAATTAAACCTAGATAAAAAAATACAAATGTAAATAATAATCGGTATTAACTTATAAAATTACAAAACATTGAAATAATAATCCTATAACATAAACTGTGGCTGGAACTGGGCATTAACTACTCTGTCCAGTGGGAATTGCTTCTAAGTTGATAGATGAGGAAGGTCATATTGGGCCATTTCTTTTTAGTCTTCTTATTGGACTAGGCAGTGATTTGATGATTGGATTTGTGTGAAATTCTAATTTGTCGATGTGAAATATGTTTCTTGGTTTTATGTATTCTGCAACGGTTGGAATGTTCAGGTCTTTGTGGAGGCAATAGTTGGATATATACCATGGTGCATTAGTTAGGATTCTTGAAATTTTGTTTTGGCATGTTTGAATTAATTTTAACGTTCGATTTGCATGCGCAACCCCACAGTTCTATACCGTAGGTCCAAATTGGAATAATAATGGTTTTGTAAATGAGCACTTTGTTCTCGAAAGATAGGTCTGATTTACTATCTATTAAAGTCAATACAGCTTCTTGATTTGCTTTTTCTTATATTCAATGTGATGTGATGTTATATTCATTTGGATTTGCTTTTTGGAATTGGAATTTTTTTGTTAAATTTTTACCGGTTTTTATAACTAATTAGTTAATAAAAATGAAATAAAAACTTAAAATTAACAAAAAAAAGTTTCTGACAATTTTATCCCATAACTTGGAATTTTATTACATCTGTAAGTAAAAGTTTAGAAGCGTCTTAACTGGTTTCTAATATTAAAAATCATTTGTTGAGCAATAAGAGCAATCGGAAATACAACATTGGTTTTTATAAGCTAAACCTTACACTAATTATTGTTTATGAAATATATTATCTAGGATGATTATTCAGAGACACTCACTTGGACAATATTGTGGCAAAGGCAAATAGGATACTCGGTAGTCTGCTTAGAAACGGTGGAGATTTTCAAAACAATGCTACCCTGTGCGTACTATTTGATACTTTAGTTAAACCAATATTAGAGTATGGGTGTGTAATTTGGGACCCGATTTAGCAATATCAGATGGACATAATTAAATCTAAAAAAATTGTCAATCACGTAAGATTCCGCAAATACAAGAACAATAGATCGATCTTCGTCACAAACAATCCTGCGACATCGAGCAATAGCAATACCAATTGAATGATAAGTCACCAACTTGAATAAAGTTCCTAAACATGTTTCCAATTAAAATTAGCCTTTTCCGGGCATTACTGCATCAAATTGAATGATAAGTCAATCCTATTAGATAAATTTTAATAATAAAGTAATCAAATATGGATTGATCAACCGTTGGGTTATTATCTAAAAGTACGACCTAAGGAGAAGTTTAAGACCAACACTTATAGGATGTAAGGTTCTGATTGCTGTTGGAATATGATGAAAAATAAACTTATTGGTTTGAGCCAATATAATCGAATGGTCATATCAAAAGGTAAAATGAATGTTTCAGATAGGAACACAAACAGATAAAAATGGCCAGGTAAACCGTCAAATACAGAAGGACACGTAACGATTACTAAATATTTAATCGACATGCATTTGTGGTTATTTCTTGGAAGCTTAAGTTTAGAAAATAGTGCTTCAACGTTCACCTGAAGAATTATTTGTTCCATCCTTTAAATGTTTGTCTATATCCACATTGCTATTCCAAAGAATCGAATTGCTGAGGCCGGTTATGTACACATACGAGCGTTAAGTCGCAATGTAACAGATAAGAATCTTGCTAAATGTCTTTGGTTGGCTAGTCGTTGAATATTTATTTCAAATGCAACTCGGCCATATATATAATATATTAGAGAGATAAAGCATGCAACTAATGATACTGATTTATATATCGATCGTGAATGTGATCCAAATTAGGTGTCAGCTTATCTGTATTAACGACCTTTTGTAAAGCAAAAATTCAATGATGCAATTCAGGTTTAGATTGAATATGCGTGTTTGTGTTTCGCTTTTTTGTACGTTTGTTAATAAAACAAATTACATTGTAACGAAACCAGTGTCGCATCTTGGCACAATTTTGAGATCACTAAATATTTAAATTGTATTTACCTACATTTTAGTACTACAATAAAAGTACCCCATTATTAGTGTGAAGAGCTTTTTATTAGTGTCTTACTAAAGTGAAAAATACACAACTATAATAATATTTTTTTTACTGTTACAACAATTTTATTGGTTATTATATTAAGTAACGTAAACTAATTTTTGTTGTGAGAGAAAAACATTTTAAAAATATCTTTTATTCACAGGGCTACTACAATATGCAAGTTACTCCGACCGAGACTTCTGTGCCATAAGGTAAAAATTTGATAATAGGCATTATATATATATATATATATATATATATATATATATATTATGGAACATATATCAAAATTTTCTAGGGCATTTAAACCCCGTCAAAAAGCAGCTCGTAGAATATGCACACATCATATGCATTCGTCATTCATCCTTTCATTTATTCCAAAACTTGTAATTCTTTTTCATAGTTTGGTAATGTACTTTTTAACAATATTTGTATTTTGCTTGTAATAAGTGCATTAATAAATTAGTCGTAACATTAGACTCGGTTGTAATTACTGAGTTTATATTCATTATAATGATGTGAGCTGACGACGATTGTGTAATTGCTAACATTTCAAGACAAAAAAGTAAAAAAATAGTTTTTGACTAAAAAGATTTATTATTTTCTTCGTCCTTCCTCAATATATCTGTGAGTAGTCTAATTCTAGAACACAGAAAAAAATGCAAAGCGAGAACTTTGAGATTCCTCTAAAAAGCTGGCTTTTCAGCTATAGTATTTCATATATTTCATAATTCATATATTTTTTGGTTACAGAATTAGTATTACTCATTACAATGATACAGTAACATTATTTAATGCAATACTAGCTTAAAGAAATTTTTTCATGATAATTAGATAATCTGTTTGTATTATAATAGAATATTCAGTAGTCAAAATAAATAAGATGTCTTGAAATCTTCTGACGTTAGAAAAATTCTTTAAATATCCGTTGCGTAATATTTTTGAATTTCAAATCTGAAAAATAATAAATAAGGGCAGTATTAAGAATTATAAATAAGAACAGAGTAAAGTATGAAAACAATTTTAGTGATAAAAAGTTTATAAGAAAATGTAAAAAAAATGGAATCAATAATTAAAAGAAATGGAAAAAGGAAAAGTAATTGGAACTATCAAAAGAAAAGTTATATTAGATATTATTTATAGGAATTTTTTAGCAAATTATTATGTGATACCAAAATTGGCAAATTCAGAATTATTGTAGAAGCTTTGAGCTTTCAAAAATTTAATGATGGTACTGTGTACTTCTACTGGGAGTAGATTAAAAAGCTGTGCTCATCTGTGGTATCGAAAAAATTGCAGGTTTAAAAAATCAATCACTTTATATTCATTTTTTGTTTTATAAGAGTAATTCGACATGAAAGATAAGTTGATTTGTAAAAATATACAGAGAACAGTGAGAATGAAAAATTGTCGAAGACGATTCCTTCATGTGGACTTTTTTGTGTTCGAATATATTCTTTAAGGATGATGAGAATCCCCAAAATTGTATTGCTTATGCCGGATTCGAGATTTCAGTAGGTTCAAATGATTAGTATTATTAAAATCTCATTTTGTAAGGAGCTTCAGTAGTAGATTATTACTTATACCCATTTTTGTTTCACGGACATCTCAAAATTTGCCAGTAAATGTTGAAGTTGACTATAGTTAAAATTCTTCTCGCACATTATTTTATTCAAATAAATGTATACACAAAAGTACAAGTAAACAGTTTTTCGTTATTATTCAAAACAATTTTATGAAATTAAGAAACATTATTAAATTGCCATAATGAATTTATATTTACACTTTCCTGTTACACTTTACATGTCAAAATAGTTTCATTCAGCACTAATTCAACGTCAACAAAATTGTTTGGCTAATACATCAAAGTTAGCGAAGTTTTAAAAGCATTCATTTATACTTAGTTACCTTATGCTTGTCATTTCATCGTAGCGAAACGAAAATTATAAAATAAGTCTTGAACCGTTTAATGGCGAAAACTGCCAACTGGCGAAACTTTCAACAACTAATCAGCTGCACGCTACAGCTGCGAGCTAGAAGCCGATACGTGTCAGTTGCGATTATCACGAAATTAACGGACCGAAATGATTTGCGTGTTACATGACAAAGGGATTTACGAAATCTCAATGTAACTGTTCTAACTCGTTAGTTATTAGACAAGTCAACACAAATTTTGAACACATTGGTACTATATGGCTGATGAGTAGATAAGTAAAAACAGCAAAATACTAGAACATCTGAGTCATATGCATGGTATTTTTACATGTACAGACAGATTTTTGCCAGTGATCAGAACTTAACAAGTCCTGTTTGAAATCGGAAACGCACGGATCAACCGCTTTGAATGGTTCAAAAAATATTCGATTCTTATTGATAGGGACATGTGCTGATTAGTTTTTGGCAAAGGCAGGTCCTGCAGTTTCGGAGATACAGAGAAGAGAAGGCAGAAAATAGAAATCGAGCTTCTGAGAGAACGGAGCATTCGTTTTGAAGGATCCAATAAACATACAATTCGTAATGATGGGTAGAAGTGATGGCGTTTCTGAGATACAAAGCTAAATATGCAAAAAATTGCAGTTTTTGAGAGAACTAAGCATCCGATTCGAATGGTTCAAAAAACTTTTTGCCTGTGTTGACGAAAAGATTTGTTTGGGAAAAAAATGTTTTGTTTCAAATTTTTTATTAATTTCCAAATAATTAATTTTCACTATTTAAAAAAAAAAATTGAGAAAAAAATGGTAAGAAATTGATACTGTATTCTGATTGCTATTGAAAATAAAATAAAATACAAAAAAAATTGGTATACGCCATAGCAACATCATTCTGGATAATTAATCTTTTTTTCTATTTTGGATTACCTTTTGAGACCCTTCACTTCAACCACTTCTGATTTTTTAAATTATTAACAATTTTTTGTTTAAATTGTTTCTGTACTCTTGTAACGTTTATCAAGAAATTATAAAAAAGATGATAGTCTAAAAATTTATTGATTTTTGCGACGATTTAAAAATAACCTAAAACTTTCTACACTAGAAAACTCCCTTAAACAATGAGATGGTAGTAAAAAATGAAGAAGATAGAAAAAAGAGTGCGCGTAAGGTTCACACGCGATTGAAGTAGGTAAAGCTTATTTTCTACTATACAAGATGGCATTTAAGTAAAAATAAATACATCATATAACAATTTTGAATAATGTTTATTAGTAATATGGTAACACTCGTGATGCACACATTTATTAGTGTCAACCATTATACACATTTATATAATGATAAATTATAAATTATATATTTATAATATCATAAAAAATAATAATAACTATAATGTAATTATAGTCATACTTCAAATATGACATGTTTGGTTTGTCATTGTAATTAGGATTTATAAATGAAGCTTCATTAGAGAAATGAAGTAATTGCTGATTAATAACTTCTATAATGTTCGTTCACACAGTGGATTATGTTAAACAACGCCTAAACAAATATTATTTTCGCAACTTCACTCATCATGTAATTGTGTTTGAAGAACTTCATGTAATTAAAATTAACATGCATTAATTGACTGCTTGTATTTTTTTTTACTTTTTTGCTATATAATCTCATTCTTTGAACAACTGTAATCTGTCTTGCCTAAAAAATATTTTCCATTTTAATAACTTCAAAGATTTATAGAAACTACGAATAATATAGAAATAATTTCTAAGGATCAGAGTGAAATATTCTTCTGATTCAAGCATTTTTCAATAAATCAAGATTTGTACTACGATGTAACTTTAAAATGTTCATTTATTAATGCCGATTTTCTTGTTGATATCGATACGCATACAACGTTGATACCGGTACGCATACAACGACAGATCTCTATTCACATACGCGACGACTAATCACAATCGACCTGTATAGGATGAGCGAATGACGTATCATTGACACTCGCCTCTTATCTTATCTTATCTGCCGTAACGCACTTCCGTTGCATTTGTACGCATTTACACCCTAGTCGCGCCTAAAGAAGTTTTACTTCAAAAATGTTATTTGGAATAAGGTAGTGCCAAAAAGATCCAGAAAAAGTGCTAATATTATTCTACCTCAACAACATTCACTGTCGAATGCCTTACATTTTGCTTGATTCCATTACCTATGCCCACGCCTTCGGTTCGGTAGATGCGGAAAAATTCTCCAGAATGTAGTTCGGCAAGCCCAGCGTCGTTCGTCGGGTTCGCCGTTCCGCGTAGCGCATTGTTTTTCTAACAAAAGCTATAGAACAAGGCCGCGGCTACTGTCTAATGGCGATGTTATGTTCCTGGCTTGAAACATTTTGTTCGGCTGCCTGCGGTGTGCTATAGAATAATTAACCAGGCACGATATTGAACCCATTAGCGGTTAGTTTGAGTATCTAGTAACAACAATACGGCCAAAGAGGATTTATTCCCACACCCTTGGGGGATGTGTTTGAAATATGGTCTATATTGCTAACAAAAATTGTTTGATATGAGCATTTGGCTATATTATGTTTATACACTTATCCCGCGTTTTACATGGAAGATGGGTGCCATAAATAACCGTACTCGAAAAATTCGTTCTTATATGGAAAAACCGTGCTAAAAAATCACTTTTGTATGACATCGAGCCTTAAAGCAAATTGCTGGATCTTCCAGTACTGTAACAAAATGTTCGAGAAATATTAAATGTTTTCATATAGATTATTATTGTCTAATATTTGTAAGAGTTATATAAACTGAATTACAAAGTTAAAATTATTTAAGTATATAAGTGAACTTTAGAACTTTAGCCAGAATTCAAATTAAAATCTCAATAATTTTCGATATACAGAAAAAAAAATATTTTTGAGAAAAAAAGAATTAGAAAAAAAAATTTAGATTTTTTTTTCAAAAGTAATTATTTTGTAAAAAAACAAGCAGAAAGTTTTTTGCATCATTCAAATCGGATGCTCCGTTCTCTAAAAAACTCGATTTCTATTATCTGCACTCTCTGCTCCGTATCTCCGTAACGGCTGGACCTGCCTTTGCCAAAAACTAATCAGCACATCTCCCTATCAATCAGAATCGAATGTTTTTCTGTTGATGTAATCGGTTGATCCGTGCGCCCGAAAACGGACGAAAAATTGTATCCATACATACATACAAACACATACAAATCCATTTTTTTAAGGTATGCCAAAATGTTCAAAAATTTAAAACACGTCAAGAAATGTAAAA